GGAGGGAGGGAAGGAGGAAGGGAGGAAGGAAGGAAGGAAGATAAGTAGGTAGGTGGGTAGGTAGGCGGGTGGGCATCTTGGGGAAATTTCAGCAGGATGCCCCAGAACCTGAGGTGGCCTGGGCGCACACACAAGCCCACCTACGGTCACCAGCTCCTTTATCTGGCAGTTGTCGCACACAATGACGAAGGTCTGCTGTGCCTTTTCCAGGCTTGTCGGGAGGAACAAGACCTGGGGAGAGAAGGGCTGTCGTTCGGGACCTTCCCCCTCTCAGACACGCACCCCTCCCCTTATTCTCCACCCCTCGTTTCCCTCTCTGCTGCCCCCCCTTCTCCCGAAAGCCAGGGCGCTCTGCCAAGGCTCCACCCCAGACTAAGGCAGGAAGCAAGTTGAGAGGCATGAAGAAAACGTTCACAGGGACTGAGATGCAAACGGCTCTTAAACAAATGACAACACGTTTAGCCTCATTCATGATAAAAGAAATGGAAAGGAAAACCACGCAGAAAACATTTTCACTCTTCATACTGGTAAAGAGCAGAAAGTTAGGAATCGTAAATGCAACAAGAAGATATCTTCATTTTCTCCAAAATCATCTGGAGGGAAAGCGGGGGTTGGCTGGAAGAGATGGAAGGGTGTAGATGCCATATGGTTGGCCAAGAGTTGATAAACGTTGACGTTGGGTACTGAGGACACAGTGATCATTAAACTAGCCTCTCCGTTTTTGTATAGGCTTTAACAGTCTATGATAATAGTTTTTCCTTTTTTCCTTTTTTTTTTAAACAGTTTTTAAGTTTGACAACACATTGTTGGCAAGAGTGTGAGAAAACAGGCACCCTCATATCTCTGCATGGTGGCGATTTTGGCAATGTGTATCACAATTCGGACCAGCAGAGACCCCTGAGACAGCAAAACCACTTCAAGGACTGTAACCTGCTGGGAGACTCATAGTTGGACAGAGTGATGTATGCAGTCACCAAAATGGCCAGAGATCAGAAAAAACCTTCATGTCCATCAGTGGGGGACGGCTGACCTGAATCATGGTTCGTTCACACAGTGGAATACTATGCAGCTGTGAAAAATACGAGACTGCTCCTTAAGATCTAGCAGAACTGGGGCGCCTGGGTGGCTCAGTCGGTTAAGCGTCCGACTTCGGCTCAGGTCACGATCTCACGGTCCGTGAGTTCGAGCCCCGCGTCGGGCTCTGTGCTGACAGCTTGGAGCCTGGAGCCTGCTTCCGATTCTGTGTCTCCTTCTATCTCTGCCCCTCCCCCACTTGTGCTCTGTCTCTGTCTCTCAAAAATAAATAAATGTTAAAAAAATATTAAAAAAAAAAAAATCTAGCAAAACTGGGACACCTGGGTGGCTCAGTGGGTTAAGCGTCTGATTCTTGGTTTTGGCTCAGCTTGCGATCTCATGGTTCGTGAGCTCGAGCCCCATGTCAAGCTCTGTGCCGATGGCACGGAGCCTGCTTGGGATTCTCTCTCTCCTTCTCTCTCTGCCCCTGCCCTCCTTGTGTGCACGTTCTCTCTCTCAAAATAAATACACATTTAGAAAACAGAGGTATCGCAGAACGGTGAGTGGACAGCGATGTGTGGGAAGGAAAAGTGGAGAACAAAGGACGACACACACGGTGTATCTCTGAAAGGGCGTTCAGAGGACCCGGTGAGGTTGTGGATATCTGGGTGGCTGAAGAGCTGCGGTGGAAAAGGACATTTGACCGTTCATTCCCATCTCTGGATTTTAGTCACGTGAATTTGTTTCTTACTTGGAAATATGAGTACGTTTTAAAACAAAACCCCAATCAAAAAAGAAAACACGCAAGGAACACCAAGGGGAAAAACGTCCTCTTGACTCCTCACTGCTCCCCACAGGGTCCTGCTGCTCCCCTCTGCCTTTCCCTGGGGATCAGAGGACGGTGGCGTGAGGGAGGTGTCCTGGCCTGGCCAGGGGTGACTGACCCCAATTTCTTAAAGCCACACCGCAAGGTACTGACACGGTCTGGACCAGACAAGAGGACCCAAGCCATCCCCCAGCAGCAGGCGAGGACTGATAAAGCCCTATGATGCCCTGAATTGGCCTCATCCCAACTCCAAGAGCCAGGTTCTTACTGGGGATCAGATCTGCACAGACATGAGCATGACAGCATCACTCCAGGGCTCCAAAAGATCCCATCAGGCACTTGAAACTGGAAAGCAGCTGATACAGGGAAGCCCTCCTTTTCACCATGAAAAAGCAACTTACAGCAGTGGTCCTCAGACTTTCTGCGCACCGCAGAGCTTTAAAAATCCTATGCCTTGGGGTGCCGGGGTGGCTCAGGTGGTTAAGGTTCCAACTCTTGGTTTCAGCTCTGGTCACGCTCTCACAGTTTATGGGATCAAGCTCCACGTTGGGCTCTGCGCTGACAGCACGGAGCCTGCTTAGGATCCTCTCTCTCCCTTTCTCTCTCTCTGCTCCTCCCAGGTGTGCTCTCTTTCTCTCTTTCAAATAAATAAACTTAAAAAAAAAAAATCCTATGCCTCAGGCAAACCCCAGACCCATTAACTCGAAACCTCAGGATGGGGCCAAGAGAGCAATGTGTCTGCAAGGTTCTCAGGAGGCTGTGATAGGCAGCTACATTTGAAAACCCCATGGCTCTTGGCTCTCACTGTCTGATGCCATGGCGTGGTCCAAATCCTCCTCGCCAGAAACCAGACAGCCTTCACTCTTGAATGTCGGTGCCTCCTCCAGCGGACTAGCGAGGAAGGCCACGTACGCTTGTGGCACAGTCGGGATTCCTGGGCCAGGGAGTCAGGGAGGGCGAAGGTGTGGAACGAGAGGGGCAGGGAGACGTCACCGTTTCCCACAGACCGTGCTGGGGACCAGCGAGAAGGTGTGATGAGCCCAAGGGACCGCTGAAAGAAGCTGGTTGGGAAAGGATAAGCCCACAGCCCGCAGATCCGACTCCGGGAGCTTTAAGCGGACGTTCAGAATAAGGCCTAAGGAAGCCAAGCCTTGCAGACTGTATAACCAAGAATTAAAGAAAAAAGAGGACAAAGCCACTGTCAGTCCCCAGGCACCAGATCTGGCAGGGGTGGGGGCTGGTATCCAAGAGAGATCGAAGAACCAAAGGACGATCCTGGAGGCAGCTGAGGTGGAAGGGACCCCCCTGCTAACGGTGTGGACAGGCAGCACCTGGGGATCATGATGGAAATGCTGGGGCTGTCTCCACTTGCTTTGTCAGAGGGATCATAAGGCAGGCAAATCGCCTCACCCCCACAGAATGTGAGACTATGCTCCTACACAGAAACCACCCTGGAATGGGGGTGGATATTCAGGTCATGAAAACACAGAGGCAAAATGAAATCATGCAAGCAGTTGAGGAAACAGTCACGGCCAATCGTAACAAGGAGAAAACACACGTCATGTCAATTACCCACCTCCACATACACGGCCTGCCCGGGAGCCAGCTCAAACGTGGAAGGCAGGATTCCAAAGGGAGGTTGCTCAACGAAGCCCAAGGTTGCGACAGCCTTAAAGAAAAGTGGAAAATTACACAAGAGTGCGGAAGAGATTGTAAAATCCAGCAGTTAAGATTACACACTTCTCGAAACATCCATTTTGCAATCTGAAGGATATTAAGGACCATCCGGTACACAGTCAGTGAAGAAACTGAGGCCCGTCCATTCAGCAAGCACTTGCTCCACCTTCCCTGGGCACCAGGCGCGCTTCCCAAGGCTCCCAGAACCCCTGTGAAGGGCTGACCGCTGGTAGGAGGAGGAAGGAACACCACTGACAAGTGCTTCACACGTGCAGCAACAGTGTGAGAGAAGGCCTCATCCAGGAGATGGGCTCCCCCAGCACAGTCCCTTCCCCACCACAGTGCCCGGTGTGGCTGGCACCAGCTTGCGTGTCTGCCTCCATCCCCAATCCGCCCCTGGGGCTCGAAGCTGCAGCCAGAGCCGAGGCGAGCCCCCACCTTGCTGGCAAGGCTGCAGCTCGATTGCCGACCAAGGGAGCCGTCTCAGCAGGCCGGGGACACGACCCCACACGTACGGGACCCGGCAGGTAGCAGAAGTGAGCGAGACGTGTGTCCTCCGGATCTATCGCTTGTTTTCCAGAGACACAGTTATGAAGAAATATCCCGCCCACAAGAAAAACAACCGTGTGCACATGCGGTCGACGGTGCAGTGCCGGGCTCCAGCCAGTGGGGCCGCGGTGAGGCCTGGCCCAGCGCTGCCCGGCTGCCAGTTTTTCAGAGACTGGAAATGCAGACTTTTACGTGAACTCTCCCGGCTTCTCAAGGTCGTCTCAAAAAATGTTTTTAAGCACAGTGCCAAATAAATATGCACACAGAATTCAGTCCAACAGCTGCCACCTTGTGACCCTGTATCTCTTAAAACATTGGCGGGGCGCCTGGGTGGCTCAGTCGGCTAAGCGTCCGATTTCGGCTCAGGTCATGATCTCGTGTGATCTCGCGTGATCTCGCGTGAGTTCGGGCCCCGCGTCGGGCTCTGTGCTGACCGCTCAGAGCCTGGAGCCTGCTTTGGATTCTGGGTCTCCATCGCTCTCTGCCCCTCCCCTGTTCATGCTCTCTCTGTCTCAAAAATAAATAAATGTTAACCAAAAAAAAAGAAAAATTAAAAAAAGAATGACATGATTGGTGACACATACTGAAGAATAAATGTCTCTCGCAGCGTGCCGTGTGAGCCAGACCTGGAAGACAAGGGGTGAACCACCGGCGCCCAGGTGACACGGGTGTCAGCACCGGACTCCGTGGCGTATCTGGATCAGCGTGACGGATCCACGGCAGCGAGGGGAGAAGTGCAGCAGTTCTTTTTTTTCCCATGTGTTTCCCATCACAAATTTGCCGGGAAGTCTGCACGGAAGGGTGTAGCGGTGGGGGGTTTTCTCCTTTGGTCGTTCTGGCTCTGGGTAGCAGTATCGGTCTCACTTACCCACAAGCTCGGCTGACCAGCTCTTTTAGGCATGATGCAAACTTTGGCCTTCAAACCCCGTTTTGCACAGAACCTGATTTATCTTCATTCCCCAGGCGAGGCGGCAGCACCACAGTCCAATACGGTGACACTGCAGCCATAGGAAAGATGCACATGAAACAACCAGTCCTCGGGAGGCCAGCCAGAGCTCTGCCAGAAACGGCAGTGACCCGGCGTTTCCCCACAGCAGCAGAGTTTGGGGTTACTCAGCCTGCGTGGCAACCTCCAGCACTTTTGGGGGCTAGGAGTCTGTGCCCACTGTGGACTGCTGAGCCTAGGCAGGACCACCCAGCTGTGGGCCTGGGGTTGTGGTGGGGAAGTCTAGCTACAGGCGATCTATTGCCCAGGCAGCAAATGAGGGGGCCCAGCCAAAGCGAAGGAAGCTTCGCCCCCCCGCCAAACCACAGAGGCGTCTGAGAGGAGCCCCCAGGCACTTCACCTTACCTCTGCTGTGGGCGCATGAGCCCTGGTAATCCCACAGTCAGAGCCCATGCTGTCGTCTTGTCCAGTCAGCCTCCACTGGGAAATGGAATAGACAGACAGGGGTCATTGACACGTGGAAATCCATGGTGTCCTCCTTGAGCAAGCCTCCCCAAGAGGACCAAGTGGAGTGCACTGCACCACAAAGAGACCCTGAGCAGGCAGCCCTGACTAGCAGATCCCGAGGGGTGCAGGCAGCCCCCTCACATGTCAGCACTGGGGTGGCCTCGGGGCTTGCAGGGGGATCCGTGTGGGCTACGACACAGATCCTAAATGAAATCATCAAATCAGTGATGGGAGAAAACTGGTGGGCATGATATACTGGCAGGTCATCCCAGGGGACACCATTCCTTTTCTAGGAACATCCTGTGCATGAAGAGAAAAGCAACAGTGATGAGGATCTGGGGACAACCGACCTCAAGGAGCTTTGACTCAAGGGCTACAGGCGGCAGCAGCCAAGGGGTACAGCAGCGAGTCCCCACCACAGCCAGGGGCTGCTCCATGAGTAGATGGTCTGGGCCAAAGGCCACCCGGCGGCAATGGGGAGTGGGAGCCTGTAGGAACATGAGCTGTGAGGCAGGGGGAGGTCAGTGAACTGGGGCTTCGGTAAAAGGAAGCAAGCGGAGTAGAGGAGTTGAAACGTAGGGAGACATAGTCCATCTGGAATAATTGAGTGAGAGCAGCATACAACCTGATGAACAGCAAAAAACATTTACGACTTCTATGTAATAGTGGGGGAGAGAATAGCTTCGTCAGAGCGTTAATTTAACACGATATTCCGCGAAACTGACCAACTTTAAGAAAGCCGCAGTGTTAAGATTTAGTAATATGTAGCGAGCCAAGAGGCGGCGGCCTGACTTGAGACGCCTTAGCACTTGTGGCGGCGGCGCGAGCAACAGAAAGTGACGAGCACGATGACTGGAAAAGAGCCTGGCAGGTCTCCAGAACAGTCCCAGGAAGAGATGAGCCTGGCGGTGAGCGAGCTACTATGGCAAACACGAAGCAAGGCTCGAAAGCGCGAGCCCAAACCCATCAGAAACCTGCCAGGCGGTGCAAGGCAACCTTAACCACACACAATTCAGCGGTCGAACCGCACGACTGTCACCCAATCCCAGCTGCTTGGTCTGGCGTCGACGGCGCGGGCGGGATGACTCTTAGGCAGCGGCTGGCGGTGATTCTTGAACTCTGCCCAAAAGGTAAAGGGAGCTCTTTGACAGCAGCAACACTGCACCGCAGTTACGTGACGAGCCCCGGACCGGCCGACTACCGCCTGGCGGCGGAAGCGCGGGCAGAGGTAGAGATGAAATAGGTCTGAGGCGGCAATGGGCACATGAGGACTTTGCCCATCGATCTACCTTTCGATTGCGGAAAAAAATACAATAAATAATTGAGCGGAAGGCGGGGAATGAATCTGACCTCGGCTTTGCCCGCTTTAAAACAACAGCTGCTTGGGGCGCCTGGGTGGCGCCAGTGGTTCGCGCGTCCGACTTCAACCAGGTCGCGATCTACCGCCTGATCTGTGAAGTTGACCCCAGCGTCCGAGCTCTGATGGCTCAGAGCGGAGCCTATTTCGATTCTGGGTCTCCTCTCTGCCCCTCCCGTTCATGCTCTGTCTCTCCTCTCTGTCCCAAAAAATAAATAAGCGTTAACAACAGCTGCTGTGTACTGAGTATCCGCCATGTGCCCTATCAACCTCACAATAACCAGGAAAAGGCGGGAGTTCTCGCTCTCTCACACCGCAGAAGCTGAAGTTCCCAGACGTTCCTTAACCCGTAGAGTTTTGAGATGTGAGCCCAGGAGATCGGGCTCCAACGTCCTGCTCACCTGGCCTCTTACTTGCCGACTTTTCCCCTACGTATATCCCTCTGGGCCACTTCTTCCCATGGGCACAGCTAAGAGAGCTATAGGCACCTGTATGATAAGGTTGTAATCGGGCCTCCCTCCAGCACTCAACCCATCCAACCCTATCAAATCCTGCCTTCTCTTCTTCCTCTCTCAGACTAGGAGACCCCCGGGGGCAAGGCCTAGGATTCGCGCACTGCTAACCCCCACCAGAAGAGGAGCTCGTACGCAAACATACCTTTTGCTTCGATTTTGTGAAATATTACACCGGGGAAAAATGGATAAAGTATAACATGACAAAAGCCAAGTTTCCATCACCCAGTTTAATAATAAATCATAAAAACACATGGGGCGCCTGGGTGGCTCAGTCAGTGAAGCATCCGACTTTGGCTCGGGTCATGATCTCACAGTTCGTGGGTTCGAGCCCTGCGATGGGCTCTGTGCTGACCGCTCAGAGCCTAGAGCCTGCTTCAGATTCTGTATCTCCCTTTCTCTCTGTCCCTCCCCTACTCACTCTCTCTCTCAAAAATGAATAAGCATTAAAAAGTACAGAGGAAACCTATCCTAGCCCCTCTTCCCTCCACCAGATAACACCTACGTAAATTTGAAGTGTGGGTCTTCATACTTTTATTCATAGGTATGTGCTCCTAAATCAACACTTATCCATTGTTGGCCAATACATTTGCACCAGTGTATCTGTGAACCACACCCAAGTGTGCAGAGAACCATATTATGGTTTTAATCTTCATTTCTCTGTTATTAATGATAATGAGCACTGTTTCATATGTTTATCTGCTATTTGGGGTTCCTCTTGTGTGAGTTGTCTATCCATATCCCTTTACAATTTTGCCATTGTGTACTTTGTCTTTTTCTTATTTTTAAAAAATGTTTATATCTTTATTTTTGAGAGAGAGAGAGAGAGAGAGACAGACAGAGAATCCCAAGCAGGCTCTGCACTGTCAGCACGGAGCCCAACACGGGGCTCAATCCCACGAACTGTGAGATCATGACCTGAGCCAAAATCAAGAGTCAGACGCTTTACAGGCTGAGCCACCACCCAGGCGTCCCTGTCTTTTTCTTATTGATTTGTAGGAGTTCTTGATATATTCTGGGTACTCATTCTTTTTAAGGTACATGTTATAAACAATCTCCAAGTTCATAACTCATATTTTTTGAGGTACAGTCTCCAAACTGTTAATGTAAAATTTATCAGCCTTTTGTGGTTTGTGCTTCTGTTTCATGAAATCTTTCTATATCTCCTATATTTTCTTCTTTAAAATTTATTTGAGATCTTTGCTGGAAAGTACTTCGCTTAGGGTATGGAGTGAGGTAGGGATTATATTATCTTCCGTGCAGCATGGATGCTATCTCAGTCTTGTCTCTGCAGGGGTGCACACGTGCACAGAATAGCCTGAGCAACAGCATGTGCAGTTCCCCCCATCAGGCTGCTGTTCCCTCAGAAACATGGAGCCAGCTGCACCCACTGCTGAGATTACCAGTCAAGGTGTCCATGGCAGCAGCCGGTCCTCGCATCCACTGAGGCATTAAGACAGCCTTTCTCCAGGGGCGCCCGGGTGGCTCAGTCTGTTAAGCATCTGACTTCAGCTCAGGTCACGATCTCATGGTTCATGAGTTCGAGCCCCGCCTCGGGCTCTGCGCTGACAGCTGGAAGCCTGGAGCCTGCTTCAGATTCTGTGTCGCCCTCTCTCTCTCTGCCCCTCCCCCACTCGCACTCTGTCTCTCTCAAAAATAAACAAACGTTAAAAAAAAACAAAAGAAACTTCACGACAGCCTTGCTCCAGCCACACAGGGCAATCCCCTGGCCAGTGAAAGGCAGGGGCCAGCGGTTTACAAGGCTTCTGAGGGGATGGCTTCTGAGGGGATGTGCGACAAGCACAATGAAAGCGTCAATTGCATTTAATGGCAGTCAGCTCAATGACACATTCTCAGATTGGCTCTTCCTCCTTCCCTGCACTCCCTTTCCTCACTCCTCTCTAGAGATGCAAATGACAGCACCTACTCTCTCCACTGCAGGCTCTGCTTTGTGGGGCACCCCGGCTGTGACAGTTGGCATCCGAGGAGTCCTACAGCAGCAGACCCTTAGGATGCAAGTCGAGAGTCGGCTCTCCCAGCAGTCAGGTGGCAATCTAGGACTCTAGCTGCCGGGCAGGAGGGTGTGGTGAGCCCTGGTATACAGTGCCCCACAATTGGCATGGTTGTCACCCACGGCCAGCTGAAATGAGGTGCAGGTGGAGGTCAGGCGCTGAAACATGGGGTAGCTACGGTGCCCGCAAGGTCTGGGGCCGTGATAATTATAAGGGCTGCAGAGTGGTCTGGCTTTCCTTGATGGCACTGGAAGGCCCAGAGAAAAAGATGACAGGCTCAGAGCAGCGAACTGCCAACTCAAGGCCCACCGTGAGGACATTCCTCGCATTCCTGGTTACACACAATTTGCTCCGGTGTCTGTGTGGGTGTGCACGCGCGCACTCCTTGCTTGATTTGGTTTGCCATTTTTCACCTGGTATTTCTGTACCTATGTTCTTTTTTTTTTTCTGTCAGATGCATTTTTTAAGTTAGCAAAATACTGAATGGAAACAAAAGAGCAAGTATATGAAAGCTATAACCCCCTGGCTTACAAGCTACGGCCTCTATTCCCACCACAACCCTTCAGCCTTCCACTCACAGCCTGGGTCCCATGTGCCCTCACGTCAGGACGGAGAAGCTCTCTCGAACCTTCCGGGGGCTGGGGACTGGGAGTGTACCTATATTCCAAAGCAAATCTGGCCCATGATTTTCATTGTCATCGGTCGTCATCTGGCTTTGGGGTCAGTGTAACATTAGGCTTAGTCTGTTCAGGCTCGTCTACAAAATGCTATAAACCGGTTGGCTTACAAACAACAGAATTTTATTTCTCACAGTTCTGGAGGCTGACAAGTCCAAGATCAAAGTGCCAGCATGGTCACGTTTTGGTGACGGCCCTCTTCCCACTTCATAGCTGGTGCTTTCTCACTGTGTCCTCAAAGTAGTGGAAGGGGCAAGGGATCTCTAGAAACTTTTTTACAGAAGCATTAACCCCCGGGGCAGCTGGGTGGCTCAGTCGGTGGTTGAGGTCCGACTCTTGATTTCACCTCAGGTCATGATCTCATGGGTTGTGAGGTGGAACCCCATATCAGGCGCTGAGCTGACAGTGCAGAGCCTGCTTGGGATTCTCTGTCTCCCTTGCTCTTCGCCCCTCCCCCACTTGCACCCACGCACACTTAGGGTCCAGCGCACGCTCTCTCTCAACATAAAATAAACTTAAGGAAAAAAAAAAGCACTAATGAGGCCCCACCCTCATGACCTAAGCACCTCCCAAAGGTCCTACCTTCTAATACCATCCTCTTTGAGGGCAAGGGTTTCAACATATAAATTCTAGGAGCACATGAACATTCAGATCATAGCAGGCTCATCACCCAATAATGAGGGTATTCTTGTTCTGGTCTCTGAAACAGTTTATACATAATAGGGGTTAGTTTCATTGGCTGGTGATGGACAGCTGTCAAGTGATCTGGGCCTAGCGTTACTTTGGCTAGAAAATGGTTTTGTTTTGTTTTAGTTATTTTCATACAAGTTGGACGGTCACATAGGTAAAGAGTCAAAGGTTTTGGAAACAGAAATCCTGCCTTCTTCCCCTGAATCCCTCTCCAGCCATTTTCTGCAATACTTTTTCCTCCTTTGGCTGATCATTTCAGAATGTCTCCAAAGGGCGTGCATTTGTATGCACGTATTACGGATCAAGGATATGGATATTCTCTCTCTCCTCTCCCATATCCAACTCACCATACGATATGCCCTTCCTCTCCCCCATCTTTCCAATGTAAGTTATATAATATTACTCGGTTAGAACAGTCATTGATGTTTACATTATTGTCACTGTGTAAATGATATTCACAACTGAGCATGAAATTGTCCCTTATATAATTATTGTCTTTCCAGAGTTAATAATCAACTGATTATTTTCTTTAATAGGTACTTGTTAATAATTAAGTCTCTCTGCACTACTCTAAAAATCTCTTTCTAAGATGTCCAGATGTATCAGGGACCCTTAATGATCCCTCCATAAGTCACCCCCATAAGTCAATCTATGCCAGAGCCTTCTGGCCTCTTCCAGTCTGGGCTGCTCTCCTGCTATACCTACTGCTAACTATCACCCAGGACAACCCCTGGGTTGGCAGATTTAAGATACATCCACAAGTTCTTTGACACTCCTCCCATTGAGAGGTGAGGTCTATGCAGCTTCCCCTGGAATCTGGACTAACCTTAGTGAGTCACTTGTAACCTACAGCATGCAGAGGAAATAGGGACTTTCTCTACTTGTCTAAGGTAACCTCCAAGGTTAGGTCATACAACCTCCATCTTGCTTGCTGTGACAATCACTTAGAAGCTCGGATACTCACTCTGAGTTGCCGTGTGCGGTCTGATTACACTGA